TGCTGTGCCCAGGCCGGAAGCCGGACTGGTGCGAGTCTAGATAGACAGTTGTGACAAAAGGCTTGGATGTTGTGACAAAAATGTTGTGACAAAAGGCTTGGATGATTCAGATATTCATTGAAGTACTGTTTATATTAAGTTACGATTTCAACCAAGAAAAAATATGCACTACATTTTAAAGGTATGAAAGTTTTGCTGATGCAGTGCAAGTCTTCAGTGTTTATATTGATTTATGAAGAAGATGCTTTTGTATCCTCCATAGCTCCATTTACGCCTTAGGAGCAAATTGAAATATTGATGTCCTCTGGATCGACTATTACTGCAATAGTCAAGTACTTATGAAGTAGCTTGGACCCCTTCCTTGAAGGGCAGGTCACTGATTATAAAACTTGTGTATGTATGGTTGTATGTGCACACAAACATGCACGTACACAGAGGTTAAATTCCAATAAAGTCAACGTGACTATTTCAGATGCAAGTGGTTAGCAAATTCCCAGTGAAGAGTAATCTTACTGTACAGCTAATAAAGTAAATGGAGCTGTCCCAATATGTCATTGGTGGCGAACCTATGGCATGCGTGCGAGAGGTGGCACCCAGAGCCCTCTCTGTGGGCATGTGCGCCATGCCCTGGAGATGGCAACCGTCCCTCTTCACCAGCCGCCTGCTAACTCACCGAGGTCCCACATGGCCGGATGCATCCCAGCACCCATGCGCTCGCTGGCCTCTGTGTGCGGGGGCCGATGGTGTCAGGCAGCAGCCGCCCTGGCTCCTGCCTCACCTTGCCCTGTGACAATGGCACCCCCACCCTGCCTTGCCTTGCCTCACCTTACCCAGCAGGACGAGCCTCCTGCCCACTACCCCGCCTGCCAAAGACCCCCTGGATCTCCCCCAACCCTGCCCGGCCCCCACAGGCATCCCTCCCCACGAGCAACATTGAGGTGATCATGCCCACCTTGGCCACACCCACCCAATCTGCCATGACCACCACAGCCACACCCACCCAGTGGGCCACGCCCACCTGGCACCCGGCGATAAATAAGTGGGTTTTGGGTTGCAGTTTGGGCACTCGGTCTCTAAAAGGTTCGCCATCACTGCTATATGTAAATAAATATAGAAGTGATCAAATTTTGGTTAGAATTGGGCTGAACTGCTTTTTCTTCTGCTGCCTCTTTTAATTTAAGCATTCTACTGAATAAACTATTTACTTAATGAATTCTGTGAATTCTGTGTTCTGTTCGAAGAGTAGATCTGAAATGTGTACCAATAAAGTAGAATTGGGGTATTCTAAATGTTTATTTGTTATGCTCACCCGACTCTTACAAAGTGAATTATTTATCAATCTTCAGCATACTCTGCTTTTAAATTAATATCTAAAGAATATAAAGCATACAGTATTCCTTTTCCTGGGTATGTGTTCTCATTTCTGAGCGCAGTTCTTTAGTGAACAAAAATTCTGTATCAGATTTAGAAAGTTGGAGTTATTACATCCTTGTAACCACACTTTCCCTTTATATATACACCAAGAAACGTTCAATGAATGTTGTTGTTCCATTGAGTAACAATTTGCAGCACTGCATATTTTAGAATGGCAGTTAAATGAGTGAACTGATTCCAAAGTAATTTGACTTTGAAGAAAACTTGTATTTGTTGAAACATTAAGAAAATATGTTGATACCAAGTCTGGTTTCTGATTTTACAACCACTGTGGAAGTGAGATATCAGTATAAATACTGTAATTTTGTTCCAATTAAAATACTTTATTTGTGACTAATTTCTTCCAATCAAATCCTTACAATTCCTCGTATTTTCAACTTCTATTTAGGAATGCAATCAGATTGCCTTGCAATACATTATTATTACAGAGTCATGAATGGTCTATCTTTTCCTCAAATGGGGTTGGGGGAATTCAACTTTTATTGAGGAAAAATGAGAACCTGCACATTTTATTCAATAACTGATCAATATTCCCAGAAGTAGAAATTAAAATCCACACAGAACCAACAGAGAACAAGTCAATAGTTTTAATCTGGGTCTCAGAAGCCAATGTACTGTACACAAAAACACTCAATTAAAACATAACTGAAATATTAAACTCTTGAATTTGTGGTTTTTTTTCATATCCTTTCTTTTATTTCTGGTGTTCAGGCTGCAAGTGCCACTGCTTGATAGCTAAATCTACCCAGTGAGCCTGCTAGCAGAGGAAGTCCTTGGTTTACAACCATTCATTTAGCAACTGTTCAAAGTTACAATGGCACTGAAAAAAATGA